ATTTTTGTGTCTCACCACAAAAAATAAGGTGATGGTTATGTTAATTACTTGGATTTAATCATTCCACATTGTATACATATATCAAAACATCACAATGTACCAAATAAATATATACAATTGTCAATTACCCCTCTCAGGGTAAAATACTAAGGAATACTTCATTTATTCCACAAAGGCTGAAACTTATGTTAGAAACTGAATGCACTATAAGATTCTTCAAAATACTTTCCATTAAATCAGCTACAGATAGACCAATGGCCCAATTAATGGAATCTTTCATTTTAATCATCTCATAGCCATAGGTAAACGATTTTTCCCCCCAAAGAGGGTGTCACTGTGTTGCCCAGACTGGAGTGCAGTGGCATGCAATCACAGCTTACTGCAACCTCCAACTCCGTGGCTCAAGCAATTCCCCTCAGCTTCCCAAATTACAGGTAAATACCACCATGCCTGGCTAATTTTTTTTTTAAATTTGTAGAGACAGGGTTTCACTATGTTTCCCAGGCTGGTCTCCAACTCCTGGCCTCAAGTGATTCTCCTGCCTCAGCCTCCCAAACTGCTGGGATTACAGGCGTGAGCCACTGCACCCAGCCAGGAATCACTTTTCTGTGGATTTTTTTTCCACAGTTCGGGATCTTTATTGGTTCCTATATATGAGTCCAGATTCTCCAGAGGGACACCAGCAATGCTAACTCTACTCCACACAGGAACACTTGAATCTCCATGCTTTCCAAGGATCTACCCATAACAACTTTCAGAGTGAAAAGTCTTTGCCTAATGAAGAAATGAAATCAGGCGGTTAGTTATCTAGGCTACAGCCACTTCCAATAACATGTTTTTTGGGGAATGCATTCAACTTCTAGGATACTTAATTTAAGATATCCATTGGGTTGGAATCTATCATTTTGCAGGAGAGATAATATTGGGTAATACTGGAAATTATTAATTTGAAGATGAACACATTTTGCTGAACTACATCATAGTATGTTACTTTTCCTGGACATATGCCTGCTGTGATAATCATTAGGTTGGAGTCTGCAGTGACAAGGTCATCTTTGCTGGAAATGATATTTGGCATTTTTATGAAAGGGCTGCCATGTTGAAGATCCACTGTCTCACCCCTCCATTTGCCTTCATCAACATCCACAAAGGCAAGTTCATAACTCAAACCTTTTAATAAGATGCTGATAGCACAAACCATACCAACAGATTCGGTTCTCATAGCAGAGATCTAACTGTGATGAACAGTCTCCTCTGAAGTGAAATTCTAAGTTCACACTTCACTGTCACCATCTTGGAAATGGGGGTGAAGGGCCAGTTGCCCCTGAGTAGGATGTGTGCTGCCTGGTAGGGACACAGAGTCATCCTCAGGCAAAGAAAATTCACTTCCACAGCCCTATTCTCTAGCTGGTCTATAGAACTTCCCCAGTTCAGCTCATGGTAGCTCACTCAAGAGGGAGAGAAAGAGAAAGGAGGAAAGCATTATAAAAGCTCACTGAAGTCTGAAAAAAACTGTTGACCATTTGACACCCCCTCACCCTCTGCTACTGTGGCTGCGCAAGGCCTTGTCAAGCTTGTGCAGGCCTCGCACTGGGCTAGCATCTTAAAATGTTATTTTTAATTTAATGAATATATAGTAATTTTTTATGTCATTAAGTCACTTCTGAAAAAATGGACTATGACCATTAAGGCTAAAAGTAATACTGGCTTTGTCTTTCAAAGTGCCGTATTTTGTTACTCAGGGAAGCACTAAATCTTTGCAATCATTTCTATAATGGTGCTACAACACAACTAAAACTAAGTATGATAGATGTAAAGAGAAATAAAGAGGTAAGAGTTCTAATCTTTAATACTTTGAAGAAGTTTAATTCTGTGAGCTTTTTTTTTCAAAAATTAATACTATAATATGACTTGTCCTATTTTACAAGGTTGCTATGAGGAAGTTACGGTGAAAAGTCTAGGGAGCTTTAAAAGATAAATTCTTGGCCAGGTGCAGTGGCTCACGCCTGTAATCCTAGCACTCTGGGAGGCCGAGGCAGGCGGATT